TTATCAGGGATTGAGAGAACCAGGACGGATATTTGGATTTTTTAGATTTGGCCACGGGAGTATATTTTTCTATAATTTCCCATAGGACATTATAAAATAACTGTAAGAAATTATTACAATCAAGATTCAAGTATTTATGCCATTCGACTTTCGAGAGATCCGCTGTACAACCTAAAAAATTGCATTTATGAAAGTTAAATCTTTTAATGATATTTTCCTTTAATGATGAAGTATTGTCTGCGGTAATATTAATCTCTAAAGGGGGGTGGTAAATATCGACACGACTAAGTGGCTGTGCGTCCATCACTTTACATACCAAGTCAGTACTCGCCAATACCAAGTCAAGAAGCTTCCCATTGCTATTAAAAGTAAAGTTACGTTGAGCGAGTGAAGTTCGAGATACAAAGTCTCTCATAAGCAAATATTTCTCATTAATAGTTTTAAAATTTTTTGTGTTATCCCACTCATAATCTGGTAGATTGAAATCACCTATAATAAGAAAATGTTCACCAAACGACGATAACATTCTTTCTTCACAAATTTCTAGATAGTCAAAGAATTGCTCACTCGCAATATATGAAGGCATATAAGCTGTGCAAATATTTAAAGAAATATGTTTTAGCTTAATTTTAACCCATACATCTTCAAGTGACGAATTCCAATCATATCTACACTCCGATAAATATATATATATATATATATATATATATATATATATATATATATATATATATATATATATATATATATATATATATATATATATATATATATATATATATATACATATATATATATACATATATATATATATATACATATATATATATATAAAATATTTGAATGTTACACATATGCGTAGGCATAGACAATAGAGCTTTGTTTAAGAGTAGTTTGAAACAAGTGCATAAAACTTTGGCAATATTGCAGGAGTAACGCGCCCGGCATGTTTATAGAGGGATTTACTTTCAATTTGCTGAAAAACTTCACAATATAAGATCTTTTATTTATTCCCCTGTAACAATAAATAGGTATACCCTTAAAGTTATATATAATGTTAAATAGATAGGTACGTAATATACAAGGCTGTTGAATTTAGTTCTTGTTCTTATGTAAATTTGTAAGTATTTTACGTACATACATATTGGTGTAGTATAATATAGACAATCGGAAGAAGGAAATGGTAGTAACCTGTAACCCATTGTTAGCAATGTATTCTGTCAGGTCGATCTCCACGCGGTCCCCTCTAGACAGTGTTGCAAGATTAGATACTTTTTTCGCAATTTAGCGTATATTTTTTTTTTTATTTTCGTAATTTTGAAGAGATGAAATTATTGAAAAGGTTTTTGTGTAAGAAAGTGTTATAAGTATAGAAATTTCGGTAATCTTTTGGAAATTTTGGATAACGGTTTTTTTTTTAATGGGTGAAAATGAAATAGTGACCCCGTCTGCGCATTCGGTATACAGTGACGAGAAATCTTTGAGTGAATTCATCATGATGGGCTAACTGGCCGCCAGCGTATCCCGTTAGCGCAGGCGGGGTTACCGTACCATTTTCACACAACAAAAAAAAAACTCATTGGTGCTCCGCCAGTGTCAGTGTATACCGATAGCGCAGATGGGTTATTCTAAAACATAGACACATTCTATTTTTTTTTTTATTTTATATATACTCAATTTCAGACAAAGTATAAAATTTCTAATTATATACATATTCATAATATTCACCCGACTAGATTCTAAGAAATATAAATAATATAACTACCTACTAAATAATGAGAAAATTGTTATTATATTTATTTAAGATTTTTATAGGAAATTCGTGGAATAGAAATTAAAGTTATTTCTACTTAGTACCTACCAGAGGGAGACTTTGTACAAAAGTCGATTGCTTGGCCACCTTTGTTCCATTCGTGTTTCTACCTAAAGCAGTTGTGTTTGCACGGCTGTGTTTCGGTTTGAAGGGTTGGGATATGGCGTGAATTTACTGGGTACAGAGGAATAACACCTGAGTCCTCAGGAATGGCAACGCATGGGGGGTATCATGGGCGAAACAGTATACTCTGTTATGTCCATGGTACTGTTCATGTTTATAGGCGACGGTTACCACTTTCCATCAGGTGGGCCGTCATCTTGTTTGCCATTCTAAGTTGTAAAGAAAAAAACCTACGAAATAACGTAAAATAGACAGTTTTTAAGTATAAAAAATTAAATAACTAAGATATCTTTGTTCTATATCTTACTAGCATAATAAAATTAAAAGTAAACTATGCCTGTATATTTGTTGGTTACACCAAATCGAAAGCAGTTTTAACAGTCACGTTCCAGATTTACGTTACATCTTTATATGCCACCTAAAAATTGTCTAATTCATTGTTTTTCCAACTTACAAAATCCATATACAAAAACTTACAAAATGTACGTACGAAGTGGCAAGTAAAAGCTAATTTACCATAAGAAAAAAAAAATGGAAATGTACAAATGGAAATAAGCGCCGACAGCATGAAATTAAAAAGAATTCAATTCAAATTTGGAATTCTTGCGACGGGGTGGCCGCCTGTGAAAACTTTCCCCATAACATGCAAATGGGGAAAGTTTTGGCTAATTGCCTGCAAGACTGTCGCACGACTAACCCCGTCCAACGAAGCGCAGTTAATTAAAACTCAGTTGCCAGTGTCTAAATTTATATATTAAAGACTGTGATTTCTTAGGATTATTGAATAACTAACTGAATACTGTGGCTTTGCCCGCTTAAATATGTATTTATCGTTATTATTCCATGTTGGGGAGTGTGATGGATTTCCCCGTTTCGTGGTGAATATTAAATAAATTGTCTTTTAATAATAAATTGCATCCGTATATATGAAAGAAAATTATGCAATGAAAAAAACAAAAGTAGAGCAGTGACTGATAAAATATAAATTTATGGCAATCAAAATAAAAAAGGTATATTTATGGGTGGAAATGGAATGGTAACTCCGCCAGCTCTAACAGGATACGCTGGCGGGGCACGAGTGAAGGGTGATAGATGAGAATGAAAACAGGCCAGTTAGCCCATCATGATGATTTCATCAGGAATTAACCATAATAGTTTTTAGGGGGAACCGCGAGGAGGTCGAACTGGTTGGGTATATTGCTAGCAATAGAATTCTTAGTCTCCATTACTAACAATACCTTTCCCCCCAAATAAAGAAGGTTGCAATCTTCAAAATGATACCTGTTAACTTTTACCCGTTAATTGTCCTTAAGGGGGAATTTGCCTGTAGTTGCCATGCTTGGTAAACAGGTTGGCAACCGCTGTTAGATTTTGGTGATATTTTGAAGAGGGACGCTGCTGCCCGCCCTTGAACCGTTAAGTTATCTTAGTCACCTCTTACAAGACCCACGAGAAAGGGGTAGTCCTTTCTATGCCGGGACTATACGACGTAAGTACTTAAATGTGGGAAATTAGAATAAGGGCTAGCCGTAAACCTAATTTTATTAAAAAATCATTACATTTTTTCATATATTATTCATAAACTTTCACATGTATTTGAATTACAGACTTTTTAATTATGTTTAATTATTTCAGACTTGCACTAATTTCTGACTTTTCAGAGTGAGGTCGTCCTACACTAAGTTTGCCTGTACGGGGTTATCTATCAAAAACGTTTCTACCGCATCCATTCCCACCGATAGTTGGTTCTACACAACTGTATGACAAACTTATAGCCACTTTAGATAGGTAAATAATAAAAAAAAAAAATTGCATCTTAAGCACACACAATTTCCACTCAGAGTGCATTATGTTATTTATAATTCACTTATTAAACCTTATTGTTTACGCAATTTTTTTTATTTTGGTTCTATTTACCCTGGAATATTATAAATGGAAAATGTTTACGCAATATTATATGCTTTAACATGTCTAAATCACAATTTTATATTTAGTTCGATTAGTCATAATTTATTCCTAATGATCAGGATCTCAGTTCTTTATATTCTATGATCTAGTAAAAAATTTTACTAGGATTGTCTATGATGTATGGTCCCGATAAAGAATAGGACACCCCTTTCTTTCACGTGGCTGTCGAAAGAGGCAACCGTTCCATTTTCATATATTAAAAAAAAAAAATTATAAACAGAATTTAACAATTCTATTTTCAAACGATATATTCTGCTTCCATATTGATGGAAGCTGTTACTTTTCTTTGCAGAGTAAAATCCGCAAAAATTTACTTATTAATAAATGTAAGTTACATACTCACAAATAAATTTTGCTAAAGAATACGAAATCGATATCTCTTCCACATTACATATTCAAGTAATTAAAATGGATGTTTTATAAAATTTACTTGTCTTGAATTAGTAATAGGTACTTAAGTAGGTACCTAATGTGGGTAATATCTGTGGGAAAATTCAAGGCATATTATATATTCATATTATAGTAGACGCAACAATCTCCTTTCGTGATTCAATAGCAAAAATGAGGCATTGTAAATTATCGTTATCGTTTAATATTTCTGCTCTTTTTTAAATGATGTAGCCATAAAACCTATTCTTTTTCATCTATAAATTTCTTTAACAAATGTAACAGATTTAAAAAATTTTACAGTTTTCGTTAAGAACGGAACCGGTTGGTGAGAGCTCAAAACAGATGGCGCTTTCTTAAAAAAAGTTCTTGTCATTAAATGATTCGACCCTTCGGAACCGTAATTTATTTTAATGAGACCAATAATTCAATTTACATAACACTTTATCTGCTCATCTTTTGATGAAAAATTTTTAAATGGATATTAATGTTTTTTTTTCTATATTTTAATCTGTGAAAACGTAATGAACGAATAACGAATTGCAAACGTAACATGAAATCGTAAATTGGAACGTCACGTAAGGCCAAATGTCAAATTGTACTTGCGTGAACTGCATACTGGCAGTAGCATTTAATAAGGTGTAATTTTGAATAGTTTAAACAAGTGTTGTGTTGTGACGACCAGTGATGGCTGTGAAGCTGAATAAATTCGAAACCCCCAGTTCTGCTAGTTCGGATAGGTAAAAGTTGTGTGCTAACCTTATCAATTGTTTGTTTGGCCAGCTGGCTCGTCTCATTTAAAAGTACACTACAGAAGTTGTATTTTCATACGCTAACTTAGTCATCATTGCGTCCCTGGAGTATTTCCATGTGCGTCGCTTTAGTTTCGTATGAGTTTTATCATAGAACTATAATATAAAACGCAAGCTGCAAAATAACCTCTCATGCACGCACTGCGATTTATTTTTAGACTTTTGTAGAGTACAAGGCAAATCGCTTCACGCTGAATGTTCGCGGTGTGAACAAAACACGTGCTTGATTGAATACCCGTGTTTTTGGACACGTGATCTCATGTAATAAAGAGAAACGCGCCAGGAAATGGAGTCAGGATCTCTGGTCTTCGTAAACCCGTAAGATATAATATAATCGTCCATGTGACTAGTGTCGGCTTCTTAACAGCTTCACGTGTTTATAATTTGCATAAAATTAATGTTTATTTACCTATTAATTGTGTCAGTTTACAGCTAGTTGTTAACAATAATGTAAACAGGTGATAACAATTCTATGATATTTATTGTTTAGAATAGACACATGAATTTATCTGGACCGGTATATTTATAAACATAAACACAGTACTTCAAATATAATTAAATGGTTCATATCTTTCTAATATATATTTTTTTATCAATTAAACAATGATTATTAAAAATAATCCATTTGTAATGATAGTATTTATTGGTTATGTGATGATAAGTACAATAGAATAACAAATAAATGTGATAAAATATTATTTGTTATTGTAACATTTTACTTAAATAATCAGATGTCCTCGATGATAATAAAAAAAAAAATAATGTCATCATTTATCATCATAACAATGATGACCTAAATGATTAGACTTTATTGGCTTGAAAGTTCATATTGATTAAACCAATTATAATCTTGCAATAGCCATTTTTTACTAAAACTAACACAAAATTTACTATTTTTACTGTTCATGTAAATAGATGACCATTTCTACTTTTCATTGGACAGCCCATCAGCTTTTATGCTTTTCCAAGTTACAAAAATTATTTTAAATATTTAATGAATACAGTAATCCCCTCTATAACATGGTATTTTCTCATCCCGCATTATAAAAAAATTTGTTAGTTTAGTTTAGTAGGATTTTTTTTAAGGGGTGGAAATGAAATGGTAACTCCATCTGTGCTATTGGTATACACTGGCAGGGCACCAGTGATAGATGATAGGTGAAGACGAAGGCAGGTCAGTTGACCCATTGTGAAGAATTTCACAAGGATTAATCACGATGGTTTCCAAGGGGAACTGCGTGGAGGTTGACCTGATAGGGTATATTGCTAGCAATGGGGCTGTTATTACCCATTACTAACAATCCCTTTCCCCCCTTGTTGTAGGAGTATTCTCATATAATGTGCTTGTACAACCCCATATAATGCATATGTACAAATGATTAACATTTAACTTTAAAATGGGTTTAAATCGAATATTATATATATATATATATATATATATATATATGTATATATATGTATGTATGTATTTTATTACAATCAAACTAAGAACATTTTAAATAAGAAACTTATGCATATTTAGTTAGTTACTAAAAAAAAAAAACAGGTAATTTTAAATATTTTAACAGTTATTACATGTTTATTCTCTGTCAAAGTTATCTGAAATAATTTTCCACAGACATCTTTTTTTTTTCTAATAGAAATGTGGAAAACCAGTGTTATATGAGCGATTGAAATCCTGTACAATGAAAACACATTGTAAGAGTACCATGTTATAGGGAGATTACTGTAATTTGAGGATACCAAAGGTCTGTGTTACAATTACGTATTTATCACACCTGACAGCTATACTTTTTATAAATTCATCAAAAATCATCTGTTTTCTTAATAGCATGCTTCTATCAAAGCACAGAGGTTGTAGTTGTACACTGTAACAATTAAGTGTTGTGAGGTTAGTTTGTCTAGTGTTTAAATATATAACTGTGGTATATACAGTAAAAAATCTTGGCATCTTTTTACCAAAATAACAGTGCATAATGTTGAAGTGTCTTTGTTATTTTTAAATGTTCCATTTTTAATAAAAACATGGCAAGAATGTTTACTATATATGCCAAGTGTTAGAAATGTTCCATTGTCCACTTACATATTTGGAACTGCAATATTTTAGTGACTTTGTCAATGGAATGGTATGGTAACATCTGCCTGTGCTAACGGTATACGCTGGTGGGACACCAGTATGGAATGATAGGTGAGATGAAAGGGCAGGTTTTCTTTAATGAGTGATAGTGGAATAGTAACCCCGCCTGCGCTGTCGGGGTGCCAGTAAGGGATAATAGATGAGGGTGAAAATATATTTATATAATTCATCACAATGGTTTCCAAGGCGGACCATGTGGAGGTCCACCTGACAGAGTAGTTACTGATACTGTTAGCGCAGGCGGGGTTACTATTCCATCATCATCGTCCATTAAAAAGAGAACTAGGAAACTCTGAAATAAAAAAGAACTAAGTGTATATCTTTGCTTATTCCAAATGATTTTGATAATTCCTTTCTTAGTTGATGGAATTTAATTCCATATTAATTAATGATATAGTAATGATGTCAAGTTTGTAGTCAGTTTTTATGTAGTAAAAGATCAGTAGTAGAGAGAGAGAACTGAGTGTTAAATATGTATAGGGTTTCATACATATGTTGCTTCATTTACTTTCATAGTTTATCGCATATATACACACAGATTTCGGAGATATTAGACTCCTTTCACAGATAGTACAATACGATCTGAGTGATGAATATCTTGAATTTATCATCGTAATATATTATAGCAATAGGGACATATTGCTAGATATAGATTTTTCCATAAAAAATATATTAGTCTTCTAATACCACTACATATAACTATTATATAACTATTCACTGCTGAACATAGGCCTCGCCCTTGAGGAGTTTTGCCAGTAGTTGCCACGTTTGGCAGGCAAGAGTAACAAACACCCATATACCTTTGTTGCAAACTTTCGCTTTATTTTAATAGGATTTGTTAGCATTATCATCGCATCAGCTCTCCACTGCTGAGCATAGGTCTCTCCCTATTGCAGGGGTTTGTCAGTAGTTGCCACTTTTGGCAAGTTGGCAACCGCAGTTAGATTTTGGTGATGTTTTAAGAAGAACACTGCTTCCTTAACCATTAAGTTCCCTATATGCCTCTTACAACACCCACAGGAAAGAAAGAAATGGCCTATTCTATGCCAGAATCAGACAAATAGGTAGACTTTGTACAAAAGTCGATTGCTTGGGTACCTCTGCCCCATTCGTGTTTCAACCGTAAAGCAGCTGTGTTTGCATGGCTGTGTTTCGGTTTGAGTGGTGGGATATGGCGTGAATTTACTGGGTACGGAGGAAAACATCTGAGTCCTCAGGAATGGCAACGCATGGGGGTATCATGGGCGAAACAGTACACTCTGTTATGTCCATGGTACTTCTCATCTCTATAGGCGACGGTTACCACTTTCCATCAGGTGGTCCGTCAGCTTGTTTGCCATTCTAAGTTGTATAAAAAAATAATTATTATTATTATATTCTACTAAATAGCAGTTGTAATTTGCCTAAATATTGCGAAATTTAACAGTAACATTTTTTTATACTTTATGATATCTACTCATTTATCAATTTGGCAAAAAATATACAATTTTTACACCGTTCCAGCATCTGTAATTACATAAGTGCTAATTGACATAGCTACTGCTTGATATAAGAAACTAAGTCAGTGGTACAATTAAACGTTTGTTTTACTTCTTTTATATAACTATGTATACTTAACAAAATGAGATAAAATCAAATCAGTATGAGCTGTATATAAATAGACCTATATTATTCTACTTGCCTATTCCATAGTTACTTTAGTATTAATTCTTTTTTACTGAAAGGAGGGTCTTTTTTTATAAATCAAAGGTTTTTGTTTTTATAAAACGAGAAGCATACAGCATGTCTGATGGTAAATGGACACTATAGCCTATGGACGCCTGTAACACAAGGGTTTTTTTTTTGTTTTTGATGGGTGAAAATGGTATGGTAACCCCGCCTGCGCTAACGGGATACGCTGGCGGAGCACCAGTGAAGGGTGATAGATGAGAATGAAAACAGGCCAGTTAGCCCATCATGATGAATTCATCAGGAATTAACCATGATAGTTTCCAGGGGGAACCGCAAGGAGGTTGACCTGGTTTTGGGTATATTGCTAGCAATGGGATTCTCAGTCTCCATTACTAACAATCCCTTTCCCCCCTGTAACACTAGGGTTATCACGTGCACGTTGCCGACCCTGAAGAAACCTTAATACACCCTTTTACCTGCTAGGGGGCTACCATACCATTTTCACCCATCAAAAAAAAACCCATCTGTCCTGTCTGTATACGCTGACGGGGCACCAGTGAGGGATGATAGGTGGGAATAAAAGCCCCACTTTCATAATACAACTTATCTTTATTACAATTTAGCAAAACTCAGTTTAAAATTTGTTTACAAAAAAAATTAACACAATATATATAAATGCCTACACGCGAATTGTGTACTATCTCCATTTTGAAGTTGGTTGACAACAGAAAAAAAAATAGGAATCTTGTTTTATGTAATTTACAAAAAAAAACATACATTTTGCTTAATATCTACTTACATAATGATACTAAAAGCAAACGACCAAATTGGCCTTCAGAATCGCTTTCAGCAGTAAGGCCATCATGTTTTTGTACCTGTTACTTATTTTTTTTTAATTTATATGTTTCTCAAAGTGCGAGTCTCGGTTCTTGGGTGTTTTGGATATGTTCCGTGGGGGTCACAACTACTTTATTATTTATTGTGCATAACCAATAAACATATTTACATGTTAGATTAATTTTTTTTTATTGATGAAAATGGAATGGCAGCTCCACCTGCGCTACCGGTATACGCTGGCGGAGCACCAGTGAAGGGTGATCGATGAAAATAAAAACAGGCCAGTTAGCCCATCATGATGAATTCATCAGGAATTAACCATGAGCACATGTTAGTTACGTTTTTAGTGGCTAACATTTTAAATGGATGATAATGGAATGGTAACCACGCCTGCGCTAACGTTGGCGAGGCACCAGTAAGGGGTGGTAGGTGAGAATGAAAATGCAGGTCAGTAAACCCATCATGACGAATTCACTTGGAATTGAACACGATATTTTCCAGGGAGAACCGCGTGGAGGTCGTCCTGACCCCGCCATTATTACCAATTCTATCACCCCAAGAAAAGACTTTTTTTTATTGGATGAAAATGGAATGGTAACCCCGCCTGCGCTAACGGGATACGCTGACGGAGCACCAGTGAAGGGTGATAGATGAGAATGAAAACAGGCCAGTTAGCCCATCATGATGAATTCATCAGGAATTAACCATGATAGTTTCCACGGAGAACCGCGAGGAGGTCGACCTGGTTGGGTATATTGCTAGCAATGGAATTCTCAGTCTCCATTACTAACAATCCCTTTCCCCCCTGTAACTTCATATTAGTCCTATAGTAAATTCATCCAAATCAGTTTAATAGTTTGTTTTTTTTTTTTATCGGGCAAGATCTAGTTATTTATGCTAGTGTAGTAGGCAGATAAATAAAGGGAACATCAAACATACGTACACGAGTTCACTATCGGATAAAAACTGGGACGGTTAAAAGGTTATAAACCTTTACAGATATAAAATTTCTTATACAGATCTATTTATATCTGTAATGGGAGTACATGACGTATTTCCGATATAAATATAATATATCTTTACTTGATCGTGACTGATAGTTCTTAGTTTTTTTTTTTTTTTTATTGGGTGAAAATGGCATAGTAATCCCGCCTGCGCTATCGGTATACACTGGCAGGGTACCAATCTCACTGGTACAAATGGTATTCAAACATACTTTGTTAATATATCTTTATATAGATAGAGTGTCTCCATACAAATGCTTCGAGAAAAACGGCTCAACTTTTTCATACAATTTTTCGTAATAAATATTTATTTTGTCTTATAATTTCTGCATTTTTTTTTAATGCGAAAAAATTCATTTTATTTATTAAATAAATACGTCAAGATACATTTTATGCGTAAATATACAGAAGACTGATAAAAAAAAAACTAGTCGAGACAAAAAGTTGACCCGTTTTTGAGGATCGATGCTTTACTTATATAAGACTTGTAGGTTATTGATTTATAGTTATTAAGATTCATAGCTATTAAATAATAGACAACACCACAAAATCATTTCAAAACCACATAAAATTCAAAATTCAAAAATCATTTATTCATGTAGGACATTTTAGCCGCTTATGAACGTCAAATTTTTACATTATAATTTTATATTTTCCCTACCGTCCAGTTCGGTATATAGATCCAATTGAGAAGAACTGGCAAGAAACTCAATTGAATTACTTTTTTTTTTTTTTAAAGCCAGTTTATTTACAATGTATATTTATATAGGTGTCTATGTCTAACATTAAATGAAAATTCAGTGCATGAACAACTATTGCCATGCACACTCGTCATTCAAGTAATCGTTTAGTGAGTAATAGGCTTTGCTCAGTAAATATGATTTAACAGATGTTTTGAATTTATTTAAGGGTAATTCCAACATATCCTTTGGTATCTTATTGTAAATTTTTATACCTATTCCCATAAAAGACCTATTAACTTTTTCTAAACGATACTTGGGGACAGCAAGTTTGTCTTTAAATCTAGTATTAATATTATGAATATTGCTGTTTTTTGGAAATAGAACGACATTAATCACTAAAAGTGTCTTAGGGATGGCATCTAGGATATATAATAACTTACCTAAATCCCTCACAGACATAGATGACATAAAAAAATTTAAAACTAAACTGTATGAATATCTAGTAAACAAAACATGCTATTCAATTGACGATTTCCTTGAAGATAAATGTAATAAATTTCCATAATATTATAATTTTTTACTATAAATGTGACATTGTTGATTTTTTTTATATAATTTGTTTTTTTCTTATATCATTGCAAATTTGTATACCTCGATATATGAGGTTGATCATAGAGGACTTATCTTGTTTTTACCATCCATTGTTAACATTGTTACCTATGTGTCACAATTTAAATAAATAAAGACTAGCTGTAAGTGAAGCATCTTATGTTGCATCCAAGTGTTCATAGCGTAGAATTTCCATTTTAGATTAGCGGAATAATCAATTACTGTTTAAAAAAAAAAGGAAGGATTAATAATATATATATATATATATATATATATATATCATTGTTTCAACAGTGACACCGAACTGGCATTGGAGTTGAGTGAGCAAGTGTTCCTGGACGATGACGACTACGCGAGCCGGGCACCGGCCTCGCCCACCACCGTACCCAATGTGAGGCCGTATCGGCCACCGTCCACAGGTAAGTCCTCACCTTACCCTTCAGCCTTTTAACCTTTTAAATACGGACGAGGGAAGGAAGGAATTGTCAGCAATGAACGCTACTCCATTAATAGCAAAATGCTTTAGTAACTCGAACGCGATTCCCTCTGGGGGAAGGTATTGTTAGTCCCATTACTAGCAATATACCCTGACATGTCGACCTCCACGTGGCCCCCCCTGGAAACAATCGTGATTAATGGTCAATCATGGTCAATTCCTAATGAACTCATCGTGATGGGCTAACTGGCCTGTTTTCATTCTCATCTATCACCCTTCACTGGTGCTCCGCCAGCGTATCCCGTTAGCGCCGGCGGGGTTACCATACCATTTTCACCTATCAAAAATAAAAAATCATTGTTTGAAAATAAATATTGTGAAATTATTCTGATTTATTGTTTACTGATTAATCTATTAGAAAACTTGGTGATACTGATACTTGGCTTTACGTCGGCGCTATCGGTATACGCGGGCGATGCACCGGTGAGAGATGATTGGTGAGGATGAAAAGGCAGGCCAGTTAGCCCATTTTGACGAATTCAACAAGAATTATTCACGATGGTTTCCAGGGGGAACCACGTAGAGGTCGACCTGATAGGGTATATTGATAGCAATGGGCCTGTCAAACTCCATTGCTAAATTCAAACTCCCTTTCGCCCAGTCAGCTCAGTTGGCCCATCGCGACGAATTCGACAATAATTAAAAACACGATTGTTTCCAGGCGAAACCGCTACACAATATTGCTAGTAATGGGGATTAAAATCCCCTTTACTAACAATCCTCCCCTAATCGTTAGTATGCACGAAAGTTCCCTCGGAAGCTTTGGAATTATCTTTCACGGTAGACTAGCTAAAAATATCTATAGTAATAGAATTGCTGGAATCTTAGAAATATCTCACGGTGAATTTTTCATTAAATTCTTAGCAAGATTTATAAGACAGCCTCTGCCCAGTGAGTGCGAGAGCTTCATCACTTTGTACCAATATGGTATCCCACAGTATCCTGGTTTAGCGAGGTCATAGTGGAAGGAATTTATAGTATATGTATTAAGGTTTAAAATACACGAATTGCCAAAACTGAGTATAATAATATAATAATTTTTATTCAAGTAAACTTAATAAATAAGCATTTTTAAATAGTTACTTTTTTTATAAATATACCTGTGTTCGTAATGCAATTTCAGCTGAAAAGAACGGGCAAGGAACACAGCTGTTGATTTTTTTTATAATAAAAATTAAGCAAACTAGTATTAAACTAAATGAATGAATGAATGAATAAGTTGCACCGACAAGAGGAAAATCTTAAATGAAAAGAAGTATTAAACTGGTATAGTGCATAATTATGTTAAAATTTATATTTAGTTGTGACTTATAGTGGTTATAAAGTAAATGGGATTATCAGTTTATAAAACTTCTGACGCATTTTTAACATTAATAAAAAGTTTTCCAATATCTAAGGATTAATTCAGTGAGGTCACTGTTAGTTTGTACTGTGTAATGTTTACTCTTACACATTATCTGCAGAATATTAGTGTAAACTTTTTTTTTATGCAACTTAAAATGGCAAACAAGCTGACGGGCCACCTGATGGAAAGTGGTAACCGTCGCCTATAGACATGAGCAGTACTATGGACATAACAGAGTACTGTTTCGCCCATGTTAATCTCTATGCGTTGCCATTCCTAAGGACTCAGGTGTTATTCCTCTGTATCCTGTAAATTCACTGCCATATCACCTCACTTCCCGTGTGGTCCCGGCATAGAATAGAATAGGCGGTCCTTCCTTTCCCGTGGGTATCGTGGGTGGGCGAGAGATGGGCAGCAGCGTCCCTCTTAAAACATCTCTAAAGCTTAACTGCGGTTGCTAATCTGCCTGCCAAGCATGGCAACTACTGGCAAAACCCCCCAAGGATGTCCTTTGTTTAGCAATGGACAGTTAAAGGCTGATATTATAATAATGATTGGTTCAAACCCAATTATTTAATTGGAATCCATTTTAGTGTTGGCAATTTCTGTTATCCATTCATATTTACCAGAGGGAGACTTTGTACAAAAGTCGATTGCTTGGGTACCTCTGTCCCATTCGTGTTTCCACCGTGAAGCAGTTGTGTTTGCATAGCTGTGTTTCGGTTTGAAGGGTGGGATATGGTATGAATTTACTGGGTACAGAGGAATAACACCTGAGTCCTCAAGAATAGCAACGCATGGGGGGTATCATGGGCGAAACAGTATACTCTGTTATGTCCATGGTACTGCTCATGTCTATAGGCGACGGTTGCCACTTTCCATCAGGTGGGCCGTCAGCTTGTTTGCCATTCTAAGTTGTATAAAAAAAAATATATTAAATTTTGGAGTCATACGTATATTTTCAAGTACTTTAATATAATACCTAATAATCAACTGTGAAGCGATCGCGACAAATTTTCTCACCAATTGCTCCATATTGCAGAATAATTTATCACAATTTAGCGGACATATACACGTGTTGAGTTCAACCGTCATAATTACAATTGCGTAAAGTTTAATATCGTTTGATGATGCTTTATAATATGCGATAGGCTCATTAGGTACGGCGTAACATGACTCGATGTATCATTGTGGTATATTTAGACCACCCATGCTGGCATCAAAGGGACAGGGTTACCAATATTACAATGTTTTTGTATATAAAATTTAATTATTCTATTGTTTGAAAACAGAGGGTCGTTTTTGTTTATTTTATTTTTTTTAATGGGTAATAATGGAATGGTAACCCCGCCTGCGCTATCGGGATACGCTGGCGGAGCACCAGTGAAGAATGATAAGTGAGGATGAAGCAGGTCAGTTGGCGTCGCGCCCATCGTGGCGAATTCAATAAGAATTGTTCACGATGGTTTCCAGGGGGAACCACGTGGAGTTTTTTTATGGTTTGTGGTACAGTATTTAAGGAATCCCGTCCACGCTATTGGATACGGGTGACGGAATGCCTATACAAGAGGGTACATGGTGGGCACAGTTTAGACACAATATTTGAGGAGCATTGGAAAGGTACTACGGCCGGATACTGCAACAAAAAAAGAGTATGTGGTCAGCCCCCGAACTGGCGACCTCTGCTGTCTACCGAGACAGGTCTCCAGTTACCATGTAATATTTTTTGAAATTTCGGGGACGAACGAAACACAAGTTTTATGTTAAAATTACATAATAAACATACTGTACCAAAACAGGAAGTTGAGTTAGAAATTTCGGAAATTTATTTTATGGTATACTTATGGTATGTTGTAACGTCTTTTTTTTTTTGTTACTTTTTGTTTTTGTTAACTCCTACTCGATTCATATTTCATTTCGTACAATGTGTCCCTAGTCTTCTGTCTTCTATTCATCTTTATTAAGAATTCTCAAAAGAAATTTTATGAAAAACTCTTTCATAGCTAAATTATTTAATAATAATAATAAATTGTTTATTGCGCACAGTAAAGATGTATACCTACAAGGAGTATTTATACAGAATGTGCATATACAAAAGATGGTCTTATCGCTAAAAGCAATCTCTTACAGATTATTTATTTGTTTATTATTTCAAGAACAAGCAATAGGTAGATACTCTTTATTTTATTTTTTTCTATACCACTGAAGTGGCAAACAAGTATACGGCCCACCTAATGGTAAGTGATTACCGTACCCTATGAACACCTGCAATACCAGAGGTATTACGCGTGCGTTGCCGACCCTGAAGAAACCTCTTTACCCCCCTTTTTGAAGAACCCCATGCTGTAGTCTCTTGGGAAAACCTCGACAAAGCTCATTCTACAACCTGAGTGTTCGTGGGAGGAAACATCTCTGAAACCGCGCAGCACGCGACCATTGAGGCTGTAGGACATGAGGATGAACTCCCTGTCGATGGCGAGCCGTACGATGGTAGAAAGTGACTGTGGACATCATATTGAACAATTCCTCTGAGCACAAACCAAATTTATTGTTTATTTTTTCATTTATTGTTTCCTACAAAAGATTACAATAGTAAACTTATTGTAGATACAAACAATTACAAGCAATAATCATTGTGAGAAAACAATGGGCAACCTTATAGCTGAAACTACTAATTTCCCTTACTGATTTGTGTTTGAATAGGTTTAAAGTCATTTTATGTAAATGTTAAATTACAAAATGTTTTTATACACTGAAAGATTATTTTTCAAGTAAAATGGACGACATCATATAATTGAATTTTGAATGTAGAGTTATTGCATTACCTGTAAATGTATGACTAACGTAAATGAGTGAAAAATAATGACGTGCATGACTTTGGTAATGTAACTTGTAATTAATAGTAATCCATACTTATAATAAATCTGTAGAGAGGTCAATTCTGTACATGAAATATATTTACAAAATAACTATTAGCGGGTGATTAGTGATCGATACAGATGCCAAAAATGCAATCAGTAAAATTTTTGTCTGTCTGTCTGGTATGTTCGTTATAGAAACAAAAACTACTCGACGGATTTCAACAAAACTTGGTACAATTATTCTTCATACTCCTGGGCAGGTTATAGTATACTTTTCATCACGCTACGATCAATAGGAACAGAGCAGTGAAGGGAAATGTTGGGAAAACGGGAGAAGTTACTGCATTTTTAAGCTTTCGTCGCGTGTGCAGCCTTAATGGCCACTTTTTAAAATGTAAAAATGTCCACCCGTGCGACGCCGGGCCGCTAGTTGTTAATAATACATATAAAAATGTTGCACGCCAAGCTGGCTAAATGTTAAGGTTACACAAACTTACCACATTCATCGCGATAAATTTCATTTCATATCTAAAGCGATCTCTTCCAGGCAATATTTTGGATGGAGAGGAGTAATTATAAACAGTTTGATCGAAGGTACGATGAAAATTCTGTTTGTAAACGCATATAGATATGTAATACATAGTTACAAATCATTTCAAAATATGCTTCCAAAAATACATAAACTGAGATCAATTTCGATAGTCGTTTTAATACAAA